CAGCCTGATATAAAAGCGATTCAAATAATATGGAATAATAAATATAAAAGCAGTACCATCATTACATGATCCGGGTTGTTGTTCTTGGACAACTTTGTTTGAGTCTATCGAACTTTGCGCTAGGTAAGGGAAACCTGACGAACGTTGCGCTTGTATTCAGGTAAATAGGAATGTGTACCTATGTCCGGTTGATGAGGTTGACACATATTTTCACAATGCACAGTGCAGTGAATGACTTATGTCGGCAACTACCGTTGTCGCGCGTCTCTCGCAAAAAGCAACATGTGTAGACGCAAATAGGTCAGAAAAGTCCGCTTCAATACAACGCTGCATTTGCGGTAAGTGTTTTAACAACCTAGAGATTAATATGAAGTCCTTACACAAGGGATTATGAAAGTTAAAATAAGTAAAGCAATAAACTTATACGATTGTAGACGCGAGAAATGCCTGTTTTACGGCGTCGGTCATGCGCCATATATCCGTTAAACAGCTAAACGGCCAACCGAGAGTGAACGGGTGAACACAAAATAATAAGCCAGAAAAGATTTATTGAGAGAACGCTAAAGTAGCTAAAGCTAAAAAGAGGTACCAGAGGAGTGCTAGGTAGGGCAGAGTTAAAAAGGTGTTGAGTGCGAGGACGGGCGAGCGTCGCAAATCGCGTCTGTTTGGTGGCAGAACGGTTGCATGTGGCTCGCTTATAACTGAAACAATCTGGAGCGACGTTCAAACAAGCGAACCCCACATGCCCTAATTCACAATAAAAGTATAATTTTAGAATAATCTGCACCGTCAAATATGGGAATCTTCAGGTTGTAGGACTAGTAAATACTAGTCCGAGACGGTGCGACAAAGTAAGCGCGGATCGCAGAAGGCGATTGGTGTCGGCCACAGCGGATTGCATTGGTTGGGCTACAAGAAGACGCGGACGGATGAAGCGATGCAGGTGGTACACGTTAGCGCGGGAACTTACAGGGCCGTTGAGTATGGAGCCGGTTGTAAGGAAAATTAAAACGAGCAATAATAATGTAAACTTGGTCAACAGTTAAATGGTACATAAATTTAGCGGTTACCTTTTTGGGCGCTACAGAGCTCCACTAGAAGGCTGGAAATGGAAAACCCTCGATATGGAAAATAACAGGGGAATCGAGGTTGGTAGGGCAAACTCGTGCCGAGTAAGAATGCGTGAGCGTTCGTGGCAAGTGGGGGTTCGCCGGACGGGAGTTCGCTGTGCCTTATGTGATTTGTTATTTCTTGATTGCAGGGCGGAGTGGATTTTGGCGAGCCGTTGGAGCGGGTTTTTTTGGACTACAAAGTACTGGCTAACCCAGAGAAAGGCCTACAGGAACTTACCTACCCCTGCTGCCGAAACGGTGCGCTTGGGAATAGCCTCTCCCCCCACCGCAAGCCGCCCCGCGCCAAAGCGACCCTCTTCCCAAGGAGAAACGACCATCGTCCCACGATGGAACGACCGTTGTCCACGAAGAAATGACCCACGTCCCGCGAAAAGGCGGCACCCGTCCCGGCAAGAAACGACCAGTGTTCAAGCCAGGGTCCTCGAAAACATTGCTTGTGCGGGCCAGTCTCTCGAAGGAGTGGGTTGGGGCGTGTAGAAGAGATAATAAAAAAACACATGTAGTAAGCGCCAGTAAGGAAGAAGGAATGATCTGCGCGTTCAGAATTTTGGTTTTTGGTGATCCTTTTAGAAAAAGCTTTCCCGGAGGCGTTTGAGAGTTTTGTTGGTTTTCGACACGTTAATCGACCAGAAACGAGGCAAATATATACAATATTCACAAATCTAAAAGTGGCTACACTTTACATAGTTAGAGAAACGAACAGGCATACGCACCTCACGACCATGGCGATTGGTCGTGGGAGGTAGCGCGCTAGATTCGAGAGATGTCGGGACGGCGGAAGGTCGTAGACCGAGATCGTGGTCTGGTTGAACTGCACCAGAAATCTGTACGCTGGCGCGGTGAGTTGTGACGTCGCGCGAAGCACTGCTATACGAAGTAGGTGAGGTGGTTTCTTCCATAGGGGCCGTTTTAGATAGTCCATTGTAACGACTTCGCGTCGGCCACCGCGGTCAATAGTGTACGTCTTATTTGCACGGTGTCGCCCTTTAAAGGGTATTTGGTACGGCGACTGAAGAAACTGTTGTACACCCTCTGCGCGAAGAAGGACATGTGAACACGTAGACAGCTTCTCAGGCATGTACGATGGTGTCTTTTGCGGTCGAGGTGCAGGAGGACGTAGATTACGCATCTGGTGAGCCATTCGATCGGTGTAACTTTCGTGGTCAAAAGAGGAAGCAGAGGGGACTGGTGCTAACAGCTGTCCGGGTAACCGCAGAGTGCAACCGTAAACTAGCTGCGCTGGTGTTGCGTCGAAATCGGTTTTAACAGTGTTTCTTAAGCATAGGAGGACGAGGGGAATCGTTTCAGACCTTGAAGAACCTGCATGCACCCGTATCACTGCCTTCAACCGGCGGTGAAGACGCTGC